TTGCAACCTCGGCTTTAAACTGTTCTGGCTGATATAGCTTGTGTGGGAGGGCAGTAAAAGCAAAGTCGAAGTAGTCGTCGATGCTGCTCTTCTCCAACCCCGGAGGCTTTGACAGACTGGTCCATATTCTCCCCATGTCCTGCATCAACGTATTTCGCAAATTCTGCAGTGGCGTCGTCCCAAGGAAGTCTCGAATGACAAAATATAGCAAGCTCCGCGAGGTGGACTTTCTATCCTTCAGAAACAGTTGGAGGTTGACTTCAAAGACCGTCTTCAACAGACCCATATTGGCGCCCTGGTACAACCCAACCTGATGCTCCCAGATGTTGACCATCAGAACTTCGCTGGTCGCCAGCGCAAATAACGAACTCTTGCGTTCAAAATCCTGATCTTCGCCGCGTTCCCGACCGTCTGTACCTTCAACGTCCATGACCAGGATGTTGTCTGCCATTTCCGTCGCTGAAGATTTGTTTTTCGCCAGCCATATTCCTCTAGTAGTTTGGCGTCGTTCTGTCTCGGACATGACGGAGAAATCGGTCTGGAAGAGGGCATTTAGGAGGGTTGACTTGCCAGTCGACTGCGAGCCGAAGACGGAGATGAGATGGTAGTTGAACCCGGCATGGGAGACTCCAGTGTGACTGAGATACTTGGCCAGATCAGAGCTGCGACAAGGTCAGTAAGACCGGATGTGCTCGAGTCATACTAGGGGTCATACTTGAACTGCTTATCCTCATCGACAACCTGGACACCATGTTCAAAGTCCGCGGTCCCGTTCTGGCCTGCAGACGCGAAATGCCCATTCACCGACATCTTTTCTGGGGCAGTGTTTGCTCGGTTGATCTGGAGAGGTCTGTCGCGAGTCGCTGAGGAGACGGGGGACTGCGGCGGCGAGAGAGTTGAATGCGCCATGACGGTGATGGCGGTCGGATGATATATCCCTGCAAGAAAAGCCTTGGTATGTGCTAAAGGGACATGGAAAAGAATAACTGGTCATCACCTGAACAGCCACCTGCCAGGGGATGTGGACAGATGGTGTGCGGCCTGGGGATGCGGTCATGAAACAATTGGCCAGATGATGTGAGAAAGTGTCCCAAGACTCCCACCCAACCTTGGACCCCAGTGGTGCCAGTGACCCTTGAGGCCCGGACCGGCTCACCTGCTCTAAAGGAGTCGAAGTCTGTTAGTGGCGGAGGGCCTTTAAATGATGATCCGTTCCGGGCATGCTAAGGGTCACTGGTCTCCACCAGCCTCCTCAACATCAAACGTTCTGCAGGCTTCAGCCTTGTCAACGCCGCTTACCAGATTACTCGGTCCAACGACCGTCTGGCTCTTTCACAAGGAGAGACAAACAGTAAACCGAAGTGCTAGATATGCCCTGTTCTCTTGCCTACCACCTTGTGCCTCAAATCGTGGCTTGGAAGTTCGCCCCAGCAGACAGGATCTGATGTGCTTTGGAGACATTGCTGTAGCCTGGAGAGACTGTTGCTGACTGCTTTCACGGCCTATCAACCTGTCAAAGAGTTAGGAACTTCAGGAGGCTGGTTCAAAGTACTGGTCAAAGACGTCAAGACTCTGTTGGAACATAGGGTATATTGTTGTCGTTTGGAGCGAACCACTTGTTTGCTGGATAAATGTGCGAGGCTGAGATCCATGACTAGAAAGACTTGGGTCTCATCGCCAGCGCAGCAGGCACAGTACAACATGATTTCTTGCGCCGAGACGAACAATTATCTGAGCCAAGGAGAAAAACATCAGCACTTCGATAGTTCTCCTTTACCAACTGCGCCCTATCAAGATTTTGGTCTGCTTCTCCATCAACCACCACAAACGACTGTTGTCAAACGGTCTTGACCACAACAGTTCAACCTCCTTTCAACGAGACATATTGCTCAGAGGACAGGTTGGGTCTCTTCTCTTTTTCTTTCTCTTGCCAGAACAACCCCTTTGAAACCATGCCTCGGAACAGGAAGAAGAACTACCGCAGCAAAGCTGCACCCCAAGACCCGGCAGAAACCGCCCGTCCCCCAAAGACTGTTGCTTGTCCTCGCTGCAACAAGGCTATCATTGTCCCCAAGGCTTGCAAGCACGGCAAGAAACTCATCAACTGCCAGGGAACTGGTTGCGGCACAGCCCATCTCGTCGAACATGATGCGAGTTGTCAGCCGCTTAATCCACCCAGACCTGCGAATCCGTCCCTAGGGCAACCAAGATCAAGCCATGAGACAGCCACAGCACCGACTTTACCTCTGGTGACGCTAGCTATGCCTGATGTATCACCGGCACACAGCGCCTGGATCCTCGGGCCACCAAAATCACAAGTCGCCCGTCTGTCCAAGACCTTTCCGTCTAATCATCTTATAGCAATGCAAGAACTGTCAGAACAGCTCAGGGCAGTCAAAGAATGCCGCAACAAACAGCCGAGATATGTCCAGGGGATTCCGATAGATGAGTGGTTGGAAAGACTGGAAAAAGAGAGTGCCGCAGAGGTCGAACAGTGGACTAAGAAGTTCAAGGATTTGGTGGAAGGAAAGGAGACCGCCGAAGGGATCGGATATGACGATGATGACAGTGACGACGAGGGCGACGGGTGCCTAACACCGACAGAGGACGAGTGATGGCAATGTCGATTGCCAGAAAGTACAAGCACAACGGTGCCCATGGTGGCAGTGAGACATATCACAAGGTCACTAAGCGGCCACCATCTCAACTCCTTCTTTGAACAAGTGTCGCGCAGGCGTACGGGGCTGTGTTTTTCTCATTGGGGTGCATTGTGAATGGGAGAGACTTGTGTCAAGAAGGCACGTCACGTTATAGCAACCACTAACAATTGGCGAGCGGGTAACCTGTTCTGGCATTTCATGAGACCTTGCCTGGCCATCATGGCCAATTGTTACATATGTACAATAATTTCCCTTCTGTCGACGCCTTTCTCCCTTCCAAGTTTTGTTATTCTCCTCTATCTTGCAGCCATGCTCGAGATCTCAACCAGGTTATCTGAGCACCCTGTTGAGTGTGAGAATCCCTTGATTCACAACAATCATAGAGTCAACGGTTTATTGTGGTTGAGCAGCGTCCTTCTTTCTAACCCCGACATCCTTCTCCCACGGCATGACAACCTGTGGAGTGTCTGCAAAAAGCTGCTTATCCCGGAGATGGATCGGCGTCTGTCCCTTTGGTGTATCGGGAATAGTCTTCTCCAAGCCCTGCATCACCAATTAGTCTCATAGTTCCAGGCATCTGAGCAAACTGCAGGGCGGGCAGCGCAGGGTCACTCACGATTTTCTGGAAAACACATCTGTTGAGCACACGCTCTGGCCGTCGACATTGCCACAGTTGGTGGTTATTGTTCTCCAGACAGTTCCAGTGTGCTCGAAACTCCTCCAAGCAATTCTTGTTGATATCGGACAATCTGCAGCAATCCCAGGCAGGATCAGTACTTTGCAATTTCAACCAAGTCTTACATTTATCCGTGCTTGATTCCAAGTCTCTTGATCCAGTTCAATGGGGAAAGACTGACACGCTCGCTGCACATCTCGTGACTTTCCTCCCTTCCCGCATACAATCCAACTCTCCTCGACCGTATGCCTCTGTTTTGCACTGCATGTAGTCATCGTTGTAAGGCCGACATCTCGCCCCAATGAAGAAAGACGCGCTCAAGAGGGGGGCTGAACTGGCTCCGATTTCCTCGACTTTAGGGATGTGGTCGGGCATAGGCGTGGTGTCAATCAGCACATCGGTGCTGAATCTGCAAACAAAGGGTCAGTCATGCGTGCACTCCAAAGGACTCAAAAGATCATGTACCTTGCTTCTCGTTTCGCCATGATTGCAACTGTTGGCCCACGCCACGAGCACTGTTTTGAAACTCTTCAGAAGCTATAACTCTTTCTGCACTCGGCACAGTAGGTGAGGTTCAAGCTGCGGAGGCGGAGCTGCAAATGCCAAGATAAAATCAAGCCAGGCTAACCCCTCTTTGGGACGAGGGTGATGCCGCTCTGTGCTCCCCCTGGCTCGCGCGAGTCAGGTGCGCGGTCACCCGTTTCTCACCAATGATGGGGGCCAAACCTCCGGGCGTCTTGGTGTCGGAAGGCCGACCTGCCCGCTTCGATGAAGACTTATGCGGGGGCTTTCATTGGCTAAATGACCTTTGGTCAAAGTCAAGTCGACGATCCGTGATGTGCTCAAAAGCAGCGCTGCCGTGATTTCTCTTTGTGGATGGTATCGCTGAACTCGACTCTACAAGGACCACGCTGACTGACGGAAACCTGCGGTCGACGGTATATATTGAGTTGGCGGTATCCTCGCCGCTTTCGTCCACGTTCGACTGCCATTTCCTCCTGTCGCCGGACCTTCCCCTCATCCCAGCGACGATGGACCACTCTTCGTACCGCTTGCCCCAACGTTGAGAACGTGCGGACTCTTCCTACAGGCCCTTCTTCTCCTGTCTCCTTCCCCATGCGCAATAGTGCTGATTGTCGACGAGCTATCCGACCTGCCGTTCCCTGTCATCTAAGGGTGCCCTCAGAAAATCTATAGTACGCGAAGACGGACCGGTGGCTGCAAATTCATCCACGTCCGAGGACTTATAGACCAGCTTCACAACTGCTCCATCCAGGACGATGATAAGAGCACTGTTCTCTGTTGTCTGCGCGGAACCTGATATTGATCAAAGCACTCTGCTAGCCTTGATTTGCCCATGTCCCGGGGCACGTGATATGCTGAAGCTTATCGTCGGGCACGTGGGAGCTTAAATAAAGTACATATGAATCGAGCTTTGAAGAGCTTCACAGCTACGTCGCAACTGAACGGAAAGAGACATGGGCCTTTTGGAGTGAAATCCCGCAAAGCAGTCGAACACTCATTTTAATCATTGAGGTCAAGCGAAAAACACTCATTATTTCATAATAAGAAAACGTATTTCGAAAGGAGTTTCGTAACAGATGAAGAACGCGTAATTACGATGTAATCTTGCGTGTACACTAGATTGCATTACTCAATACCACTCAAATTCGAGTGTGAGGTCTGAGCTTGAATCGCATGTGCATGTCCTTTTGATACGCGAACCACGTCGTTGAAATCTTCCACGGGTTCTGGGGGTCCACAAACTCGGCATCGAAGTTGCGAACTATCTGGGCAACAAATTTGTGTATTTCAACCTTTTCCCCCTTTAAGTCAGCATTGGAAGTGGCTTTGTGCAATAACCCAGAAAACGTCTTACCAGTGCAATGTTGCGACCAATACACATGCGTGGCCCGTTGCCCCCAAATGTCATATTGCGCGACTCGAGATATCGGGAGCGGTCCTCGCTCTCCAACCAGCGTTCCGGACGGAACTCGTCAGCATCGTCGCCCCAGATTGCGGGATCGCGGTTCTGCGCGAGCGGACTGATACCGACGATCGTGCCCGCCGGAATCTCCTTGCCGTCGACCACCAACCCCACAGGGGCGTGCCGTAAGAGCTGCCAGACGATCGACGGTAGCATTCGAAGTGCCTCTCTGACGACTGCCTGCAGGTACGGCAGCGTCTGGGTCTCTAGATACGAGATCGGCGCCGCCGATTCTCGGGTCTCGTAGAAGGCGTCGACCTCCTGTTGGACCTTTTTGAAGACCTCCGGGCGCGTACAGATGTAGTAGAGACACGTCCGCATCCCGATGGAGGTTGTGTCAGCGCCGGCGCCTCTGTGTATTTAAGTTAGCACGAAACTCGGAGATGGGACGAAACTTTTGTGTACATAATATTCATGGCCTCGATCAGCACCTCCCCGAAAGACGCGGACCCACCGTCCGCTCCCTTCATGCCAACAAAGTGCGTCAGCATATCGTATCGCTTGGTGTCACCGAGGTTATCCAGTCTCTCTTTCACCCTCATCGCGCTCCACTGTTGGAAGGCATCAAAGGACTGGACTTGCGGCTTCAACTTCATGGCCAGCCTCATTATAGGGTTATTGAACCATATCATCTGACCCCATGCGTGCCCAAGGTTGCCCATGACGAAGAAGCCGTTGAAGATGATTTTGCGCAAGTCCATGACGTCCGTTTCGGTTTCAAGATGGCCCATCGGCTCGCTGTAGGCGAGCTCTCCGACCACGTCGAAGGCCAAAGCGTTGGTGAAGTCGGACATGTTTACACTTCGCCCAGCCCGCGAGTGTGCTGCGAGCTTAGAGAAGAGGAGGTTCAGCATGCCCTGGATGTATGGCTCGTATCTCAGGATGCTGGTCATAGAGTACGCCGACGAAACCCGCTTCCTCAGGAAGGAATGGATGTTTTTGTCTTGGGTCGCGAAGAGCCCGGGGGCGACATCCGGCATTTCCCACACCTGGTACCATGCCGTCTTGGTAGAATTGTGGCCATGGCCGTAGAGAAGCTTCATGGCGTTTTCATCGACAATAGAAAGCTCATTCGGGGCCACTCTTACAACGCGACCGTAGTTTCGGTGCAGAGCGAGAATGTCCTCATGCCAAGTACCGGCAAAGTATCGCCTCGAGCGCCAAAGACCGGTGATTTTGGCCCAAAAGGGACCCGGGAACGTTGATAGTGGGTGCAATGTCAGACGATAGAGACCAAGACATGTTCCTGCAACTAGAATCCATACCGGGAACCATTCCCAGGAAAACAATACACGAATCGAGCTCACCGGTGCCTCGAGCATTTTGATGCCTGAACTTTTCGAAGCAATAGGCGGTCTCGAAAGACCGTCCAAGCAGATCAGTCTACAAACACGATCCTCTTATGTAAACCTGGTGTACCACAAAGAATCCCCCAACTCCGCCATCTCCCCGTGCCCAACTGGCCACCCCTCTTCCTCTCCACATGGCCCAAAGCATGCTCCCTTCCGCCCTCACACCCAAGGAGACTCCACATCCACCTGGCTTCTGGTCACAATGACAATAAGGACGAGTATTCCAAAATGGCTCTCAACCTCCCCGTCATACGTGCTCTGCCAAGATGTGGGTTTATGAAGACACAAACACATCAGATGCGTGTGGCGACATGTAGAAGGCACATCGCTGGAGAACCCGCGACTTCACTGCCCACCATGCGGACGTGACTCGTCGCTAATCTTCCCACGAAGGTAGTGATAACTATCCACGTTAAAAGCAGCAAAGACCACAGGCTGAGTGGGTGGGGGTGGTGGAGGTGATCAAGGATGGGAAATCTACTACAAATCTTAGGGACTTGACACATGCCCAAACATCCGCACATTCCCTTATAGATTTTTCATATGCTCACTAAATGTGTTGGTGTATCGTATTGAGTCGAAGATGCACTCCACTGAGAAGCCATTTGTGATCGTCGTTGGGGCTGGTCCAGCCGGACTTGATGATACCAGGCACAAGTGAGAAGTGCTGGATAGGATGTACTGTGGTATCTAGGGAGTGGGAGCGCGGATAAAATGCCAAAGCAGTTAAGCTCCCGCACGGCATCGGGAGAAAGTCTGGGGCCGCGCTCGAGTGTCCTGACTAACTGACTTCGCTGAGGGTCCAGCCATGTCATGTCTTGCTACTAGCCGCAAAGCCAATAACATCATGGATAAGCGCGTTGCTCGTTAAGCAAGTTGCTTTGCTTTTGACCAGTTTTGTGCGCCAATTGAGGTATAGGGCCTCTTCCTCCACAGCCACTGGACCAAGCCGGCTCTCCTCGCTGTGGCCAGGAATTGGGCTATTCAATCTTGCTTTAGTTTCGTTCTTGCATCCACCTCCTTCTGCACATGACCTTTCACACACCCACAAAGGACATCGCTACAACTGGAGTCAGAAGGCTCCTCCTGGCTTGTCACGTAGAAATGCCTCGGATAAGTACTTCAGACTAGAGCGCTTGCTACACAATGCACTGCTTGTACGAATCCTCCTTGGTATCTGCCGTTCATATTTGAGTTCACGAGCCTTGAAATAAAACCAACTTGAAGCGACAGGTAATCATTCATGAGTGACGAAGGTGGTGGTAATCTGCTCAAGTTGGGCAGCAGGAAAATGCGATTCGTCTGTGGAAAAGAGCCCGTGCCATTGTGATATCTGCACTCTTCTGTCAGCAAGTCAGTGTCAGCACGGAACTCGACGAACCACTGAGAGAAGATGTATGTAAAGGGGCTCAGCTTCCGCCATGCTATCGTTGCTCTACAATTTGTCAGCACAAAAAGCTCTGCCTCAACCTTGGGACGGGCTAACACGGATAAACGAAGCAAGTTCCAGGGTGAGCTCTGCAGAGGCGATTGTACAAATTATATCTCTGACCGACTTCTTCGTCAAGTTCGCCATTGAAAGCTCGCGAGACACTACACTTAGTAGCTTCTGTGACCAATGTTAGACGGAATTCACTAAAGCAAATGGGTAAACAGCTAAGCTAAAGATGGTTGGAACAAACGAACCGGAAATGTTGTTAACAGGAAATGAGACGCGCCTGTGGTGCCAAGAATGCTGAAACCAAGACTGACCATGGCTAGAAGTAACGTGGTAGGCGTATTTCGGGCAGAAAAGGTCGACATGTGCATCAGAGGGAGAATTGGGTGAAATTGAAAAGCGTAAAGATCCAGTGCAATATCAAAAAGCTCGGTTTGCGGTACGATTAAACCTTCCACTGCCGTTTGGCACGAACTGGTGGTGTTTTCGACAAAGCTCTTCTGCGAGACTCGGATCGGGGATGTGATAATGTACTGATTTTCATCATCAAGAGCCTTCATAATTCGCAGGCGGCAGCCCTTGTCAAAATTCCACCGGCTTTCATTACCCCCAGGATTGTCGGACGACGCGTGGGAGATGGCCAGCTTACAAAAAAGGTTCTCTTGTTCATAGTTCAGAAGCTCTGTCCAGAGGCCGGGCATCACATGTCGACATTATCTTGGCCGGCTTGCCCAAGCTCTGGCAGTAGTGGACAGGAAGAGATATCATAGTTGTGAAGCAGAAAGTCCGCATCCAGGTCGAAGTCTATGTTGGCTAAGGGATATCCCGACAGATCAGGGATATTTTGTTGCGTATCGTTTTCACCGATGGGGGACAAGACCATTGAGGGTATCATGGCGTGTTTGAGGTGGGGGCGCTGCAGAAGTGTATTTTTTTTATGTACCGTCCGTCGTCGCAGCTGCGGTAATATGCCTGACTCTCACAGAAGATTGCTACCCCAAGGGAATTTGTATAGATGTATCGCATGTCTTGAAGACTGGCGATAGCCCTGCCATCGTCGTCCCCCCTGCCAAGATCTCCACCTGGCCAAGATGAGGCAGTGATGATGGCATGGGCAATATTTTGTGGCCATAGTAGACTAGAGCTCTGCTTGTGCATCGATGGCAGCGTTATCCAGGCGCAGACAGATAGATTGGGCACTCCACGAGGCACTATACTGGATGTAGCTGGGAGGGGAACAATGTGAAAAGTGATGAAGTGGGGAATTGGAGCTGAGGCGCCCTGAGCGCCCAATCTCTGCAGCCACGTGACCTGGAGTGCCATGCTGGCCCTTGAGTGGGTCTCGTCCCCAAGCCAAGACATGGCATGGGAAAGTGGTCGCGACGAAGCCGCAGACAGACGCTGCCAACACCTAGGAATATGTTCTCGCTCGGAACCTGGTGCGTGATAGATATGTCGCGTCTGCTGCTAACAGAAGAATGCTCCCACAATTTGGCAGGATAGGGAATGGCAACTGACCCCACATGTTGGGGCATCATTCATCAAATGGCGACCTACTTTGGGCGTAATAACATTCAGCCCAACTTTCTGTTCTGACCTTGCCCTGCGTTCCGCTCCAGAGATCGTCGACCCGAGACACTTCCACACTACAGACATCGTAGTCCTTCGCGACGGAAAATCGTGCATGATGAGTTCTTTCCGCGACAAATTATTAGCCACGACCGACCGGTTCATCCGTGTCATGAGCGGCGGTACCGTCGACGAGGTCGTGTCGATTCGAAGCGCCAACTGTGTCCAGCGTACCTTGCCATCGTCGCTCAAAGCACCATCCATGAACAACAAAGAGTTCGCGGCTTTTTACTCGTCCGTATCAGGCGACCTCTCCGATTTTCAAGTCTGGCTCGCACCCGGTACAGAGCCGATTGTCGACGAGACATCCAGACGAGTGGCTCTGCACCTCCATTCCCGCGCCAATGGGAAGAATGGAACTTACAGCAACGAATATATATTCCTGCTCCTCATGTCCGAGGACGGATCGCTTCTGGAGGAGGTCGTTGAGTTCACAGACAGTGCGTACGTCCAGAGCTACTTCCAACCGAAAGAATAAGTAGTGCTTGAAGCATAGCACGGAGAGCTTTTTTGGATCACACACAAGGGACCGAAAAAGTCATGGATTGTAAGATCTGTTTTTCGACAGCATCTCTACAGCCTATATCCTCACGCCTCCATTGATTCATCGTCGTCGCTGGAAGGCGATGATCTCTCGAGAGAATACATGTGTCGGCTAACTGGCAATTTACGTTCATTCTCTGCAAATGCCGAGTAACTGGTGTTCTTGACTTTTCTCTGGCAACATGCTTGTTTATATAGCCGGACCTGAATAAGACGTAATCTAGCCGTGAAGAGAGGATCTGTTCAAACATCAGCATCAGAGGCCCTCTGGACAAGATTCTCTCTCTATCGATGTAGTGAAATATGTGAGCAAAGTCGGGGCTTGTGGATTAGGATGTTGCGCACATTGCTTAATGGTAACGCGATATATCGACCTGGCCAGGGTTTTCTTTTAGCCCGGTGCGAGAACAGAGCTACGTGCAGAAGAGGGAGAGCGTGGTCTAGTGAATGTCCGGTCCCTTTCGGCTTGATGGTGGCAAAGAATTCCGCTGTCTGAGGATATGTAATCTTGATGAGAGAGATCAGACAAACTAGATATATCAACCATTCATCTAGAACACTGTGATTCGTTTGCATTCGCTTTCCACCATGGATTATGAAACCTCAATTACCGCAAATAGAGAACTCATAGAGACCTCAGCGGGCTGCTGGACAGGAAGCTTATGCCTAACCAAAAGCCACGTCGAGTTTCCGTTGAGAGCTACACTACTAGGGTGATGGTACCGTCCAGAGAACAGAGATTAAATTTGTTGATTCCGAAATCGGTGTTGACCTGGGTTGCATACGCATGCAAGATTGGCATTCCTATCCAGTCCCAACTATGGGCAATCTTTTGCATTGAACTAGACTTCCCTAACGTGATATCCATGAAGCTTCGCAGAAATCTCAGGAGAGTCAGTGGAGCACGAAAAAGGCGCAGATCTGGGAAAGTCTATATCCTCTGCAACATCAAGGTAGGTTACATGATCACATTCAGGGGAGAAATGTCTGTTTTGCTGGCGGACTCGTCCAATGTTCAAAGAAGATGTGGCGTTTAGCCAGTGGCTATGGATTTGACGATGATGTCGTCTTGGTGACTCTTAAGATCAACCGAGTCCAAGGATAGGCCCCCCAAAAGGTATTACCGCAGAGTGCCATATGTCGTTAGCCCAGCTACAATTTGCCACGAGTTGAACGGGAAGATTCTGAAACCTCGCGAAACTGTCTGTATTTCTTCGGCCAGATCCCTTGTTTCCCAGGAGAAAGTATGCCATCCGGGTCAACAGCATCCTGCATCAGAACTGTCAGCATGACAATCTTGCCGATAACGACCCATAGTGACATAAATAATGACTAACCTTAATCTTTTCGACAAACCTGT